CTCGTCGATATCGCGACAAAATGTTTGCGGACAAATGAAATATGCAGTCTGAATCCTTGGAAATTTTATGCGTTTTAAGTGCGAAATTATGCGTATTGAAACATATAATGCAGTTTCAAATTACGAAACCAAACATTTGAATTCCATTAAAAACTAAGCTCACTGAACTTAGGATTAAGTAGGAAAGGTTAACCGAAGTGAACCAAAATTTAAAATATTTTAATCCGATATATTCATATTGCTATATGAAAGAAAATATTTTGCAAATAACAAATTCTCTTCTTTTGAAATACAACATATCAAATAAACAAATTAATGAGCAAGCCATTATGAGTAAACAAATCAGTTTTAATTGGTAAGCAAAACATCGACACAGCTACATTTCGGATAAATGTACTATCAACAATTATGGAATAGTTAAAATTAAGTCAATATGATTTCGGTGAAATGTATTGTATTTTAAAAAATCATTTTATTACTGTGCACGATGTAAGTAAACAAGCAAACAGACACATGAATTAAATAATTGATATAATAAGTGTAATAACAAATAGGATGGATCATTGAACTGATTAATTAACATCGAGAATGAACAAATAATATAATACTACCAAGAAATTTCTTCATAACCTAAATGTTTAAATACGTAAAATAAAAAGTTGTAAACACGCAAATATTAACAAACTGATGGTGTGGGAAGACTTGACGTATTTTGGGCCCAATAAAAAATGAATAGCGACGTAATTCAAGCGTTAATGCCGGCATAATTCTATGTTATGGAATAATGAGGAAGGAAGAACACATGGTATCTTAGAATCCAAAGGAAAAGAGTATTCGTGTCTACGTGTTATTAGATCCATGTTTACATAATCTGTGTTCACAAATTCGTGTTCACACGACACGTACGCCAGATTAGTCGCACGTAGTTTACGGACTACATGTTACACATATACACATATACACGTTTACACGTTTACACGTTCACATTTACGACGTCCATGAATTGCGACTGTTGCACAGAACGTGAACAATGGCGGGAGCAGAGAGGTAGAGGAAAGTCACGCCCCCAGATTAGGCTCCACCCATTTGTGGCGAAATGCTAAGCATGCTCGTCACAGCGACAGTGTTCTATAACAACAGCTGAATTCTCATTTGTCTCGATGTCTGGCTCCCTCATACATTCTCCCCATCTTTTCATATCCATCTTTATTATCGATTATTGTGAATACCTTTTTTCTTTTCTTTTGCTTCCATTGCAGTTCTCCTCTTTTCTCATGCACTTCCGTTTTCTCCCGTCTTCTATGCTATACTCTTCCATTTGCTTTTCTCTCCTGCAATACATTCTCCTCTCCTCTCGTTTTCCATTTCTCATGATAGAAAGAGGAGAGAGAGAGGGAGAGACGAAGAATTTTCATTGGTTCTTTTGTCTTTTCATTCTTCTCTCTTTGCTTGTGCGTGTTTGATTCGTGGCGAATTTCATAAATGACGCGGTGTGAAATTAGGTCGGTTTGGTACCATAGTGAAAAGAGGAGGGATCGTTGCGTGTCTCACGTGTCATGAGTGACGTGACGTGATTTATGTCACCTTGTCTCTGTGTACACAGAAAGGACACTGCTGGAAATTCAACACCAAACAATTTGAGAATAAATAGTTTCGAAGTTTGAGAATAAAGTTAGCTTTTAGTACAGTTACGTTTGTTGATTTGTAATCACTTTAGGAATTTATACAAAACGGAGTGACAATTATTCCGAGAATTCACGTAAGATACACACGTAGCTCGTGTGTAAAATTTACGTATGATGGTCGAAGCATTACATGTATGTGTGTGTATGTGTTGCATGTGTCTGCATATGTATGTGTGTATGTATGCGTGTGTGTTCCTGTGTGGTGTGTGTGTATGTGTTAGAACAGGAACTTTTCGCGTTTCTGTTCGATGCTCTTAATTATGGTAAAGTGGTTAGATTATGGATCGGATTAATCTCTCCTACTTTGGATGCATATGGCATTTATTCAGCATGACTTATGTAAAGATTGGCTGAGTGCTAATCGTTGTTAGCACAGCTACCGCTTTATTATTTGTCTGAGATTACAGTAGTTTCAGCAACCTCTGTGAAGAATTTTGAAGTTGAGATAGACTTCTGATATTTAAACGAGCTTTAGAAGAGTAAATAATTTTTAGTGATATTAGAAAGTCAAAATAGTTCTCTAAAATACGGAAAGTGGACACCATAAAATTATCATATTAACATGATATTAATAGATGTGAGGAGAAGAGCTTACACTTCAGTACTGGAGCATTTTGGATTATACCATCGAAAAAAAAGCGAAATTATCATAGACTGGAGCATAATGTTTTTTTCCATCTGTTAAGTATGCAAATTTGTAGCTTTAATGAAAGTCCTGGTTTTTATATGTGAAGTATTTAAAAAAGCTATTAGTAGTTATGCGAAATTAGCGGAAAATACAAGGCCCACGATTAGTAATAGTAGTGAAAGGGGTATTCCATACAAAGCAGCTATTGTAAGGGGGATGGAAGAGTAGTTTGGAATTTGAACTTGAAATTGACCAGTCTGAAATAAACGAGTTAAGCGTTCTGACTGCTTAGGTTTTCCAATTAGCATATCACGGATGATTTGTTGGATGATACGGCAGATCAGTTACATACATAGTTCCCTCCTTTCCCTGATTACCGGGATATCGAGGTTTTCATACGACACAAATTTTTGTTGCGAACATTCCCTCTTTGCAACTGAATTTCCCTTAGGACCTGAAACGGGTACTACAAAAATACCTTAGCTGAATCCAAAATTTGGAAATATTCTTCTTGTTCTATTGCCTCACATTATAAAAATGGTACGTGTTACTTTTAGTTCGAAATGCTGTTATCTTTCATCTTCATTTAGATATATCCTTTATTCATTTACATGAATACTTATCGCACTAGCGATAACGGGACGTTCCAATTAATAGTGGCAAGAATAATACCCTTACTTTTTTTCAGACTACAAGCAAGCGAGATTTGGTGGTGTTTGAAGTGAAAACAAACAGTGCCAGAGAATGTCATCGAGTGGAAGTCTACTTTTTTAATTAAATTGGAGTTTTTAATTAAATTAGGATTTATTTGAAAATGTATTCGTGACTGGACAGATTTGAGAATTTAAATGTCTCTATTATCAAAAAGTCATTCGGGACTTCTGTAATCAACTTTTTGAATACGAATTCGTAATAAAGTCAAAGATCAACTGTTGAACAACTGTTGCATCATCACTGATGAATCTATTTAAAATGTTCATCTTAAATTTAATTTTTTCAAAACTATATTGTCAATAACTAAGCATTTATAATTTTTTCATAGGTTAAACATTTATAGCTTTTCTTGCAGATGATACTAATCAAGGAAAGGAGAAAGCTTTGGATGAGGAATTCGGCGAAGATAGTGTGGCCGTGCGATTGATTGAAGATTATTTGGAGGGAAAGATAACATCACTGATTGATTTAAGTCAACTGTTAAAAGACGAAGCTGGTTTGATTATTTCAAAATCGACTCTTGCTAGACGACTGAAGGGTAAGGTATGCTGTTTTACCACAGTTACTAATTTTGAAAAAAAGTTGGTGGTTTCTCGTCTTATACATGATGATTTTTTCTATTTTTCAGGTTAATGTTAAAGTACGTCGTAAACGAGGTTATCATCAACGACGGGCTGGAGCAGACGAGTAAGACATTTCCTTTTTTCAAAAATTCAGTTTTGGTAATTGTGGAAACTTATTAGTCTTTCTCCGTTAAGGTTTGGAAAAAAGTCTGCAGCGTCACTGAATAAATTAAGCGAATTGAGTGTTCGACGGTTATTCTTGTCATAGATCTATTTCTACAACACAGTGATGGAAATTTTAAACTTAAATGAAAATTGTAAATATCAAAATATATATTTCAGACTTGATGATGAGGAAGCATACACCTACAGTTACTCTTTGTCAAGAAATTTAAATGAAACAATCGTCACAGTTCCAATTGACGATGAAAATGTCCGACAGTATGCATTGGTTCGGGTTGCAGGCGATGGTAGAAAACGCTACTATCGGTGCAATCAATGCCTCAAATTTCGTCGAAATGACAAAAGTGCACCTCAAGCATATCTGATTATGGAAAATGGTCGTATTGTGGGTACCAAACATCATCGACACCATCCTGACTGCAAACCAACCAAACGAATTGAAGCAACTACAACCAGTTTGGATCGTGCAAATCGAAAAGACATACGTATAGGTCTTAAAACACCGAAAGCAGCATACGCTGAGGTATTCATCACTTTCCTGATCATAGTAACTGCTAATCATCTCTGTGTTGCTCTCAGGATACGATTTAAGCATCATTTGATATGCTTCATATAATGCGGTTGGGTTTTATGAAAAACAATTCCGATATTGTAAAATTTCTTTAGGTTTCTCTTCTCTCCACTGAAAAAGAGAATTAACCATAATAGCATTATTTCTGACAAGTTAATAACTATATGATAGCACTATTTCTAAAGAGCAAATGGAGTTATAGTCGAAATAAAAAACATTCCTATACAACAAGGGGTCATTTTCAGGGTTTCTATCGAGCAATTGATCTTGCGTCCACGGAAGGTTCTTCAAGTAATAAATTACCGAAAATTTATCCATCGTGGAGTCGTGTACGCAAATCATACTTCCGACAGAATCGTTTGGGTAGAATTGATCGAGCAAAAAGTTTATCAGCAGATGGTTCACTTCGTCGTGGACAACGTCATCCGGATGAAGTGAACGGTCCTGTACTGTACACATATGGCGAAGATGCTGATGGTCAATACGTTGTATTTGAGAGTGAGGAAATACCTGAAGGTTACGAGCCCGTACCTGTCGAAGAGCTGGAGGCTGAGGCTGAAGGTGTTGAACTTGATGGAAGCTGGACTGTTAGTGCAAAGGAAGAGAACCTGAAAAGCGATTTACATGGTGTATGGAAAAGGGGTGATGAACTAGAACAGAAACGCTTACACGAAACTATTGAAAATGAACAAGAAGCTGAGGAGCTTGATCTCTTACAAGCAGCTTCTGGCGAAGAACCATCAATGAAGAAGGCTCGAACGGAGAACAATGAGACGGAGGAACCTCAAGAATCCGTGGAAACTACCGGAGAGTGTATAAATGAGAATACATCAATGATTCACGAATATGTCCATAACAAACCGCTACTCGACTTAGCTGATTACACTACAAAAGAAGAAAGACGACGAATTTCACAGAATTTAATTGATGAAATTCGTTCCAGTGCCAACTTCAAACGTGTTAAGCCAGCGAGAGGTTCTACATCGGAATTAGACGATGAATGTAATAGCTGGTATGTTCAGTCAATTTTCATCTTTTGTTCTTTATTTTGCGTATTTTCTTATGTTCACTCCATTTTCTTTTCTTTTGTATTTTGTTTTCTCTGGATTTTATTCCATTTTTCTTTCTGCCTATATTTTTCAAATTTCACGAGATTTTGATATTTCTACCAGTAGTTTCATTGGATCAAAATTTGCTTTCCGTTACAGATAAAAATTGAATAATTTTCAAAGTATTAGGGAACGACAGAAATCTTTATTTTCTAGAGATTTCAGTTACCTGTCTTTACGAGAAAGTAATAATAGGTTCAGCATCATAATTGAATAAATCTGCATGCTTGGGCGAAATAATAAGGATATGTTGTCGATATTGACTACAGAAGCAGATAATTCCATCGAATTATGTACTGAATAAATAATGAAATGTTAGGGACAAGGGATAAGCTGATATAATTGTGTGGATTTTTAGTAAAGATTGTTCTGTTGAAGTTTTATGTGCAGGACTTGGAAACTTGAAAAAGTTTCAAAATTCATTTTAGGTGCTATATGCCGTGCAATGCGGATGGTGAAATCATGGTTTACTCATCGGATAAAGTACACTTAATTGAAAATTTGGATGGAGAGATGGAAATTGCCTACGATCCTGATGTGGAGGTGAGCGAAATTGTCAAAAATCTGAAGCCATATGGAATTTTATCAACGGATTATATTTTGTGAAAGCTTTGATTTCGTAACAATTCGTTTGTTTCTGCCTTTTTTTTTCCCCCCCCCCCGCCCCCTCCCCCCATTCATCTCTATGAGGGTCGGAATACTGCAGGGTATCTGGGTTTTGTTTTGATTTACATCATGCCATGATTCCAAGAAAATCCCCTTTGCGCGTTTTATTTTATAGTTGCCCATTTAATTTGTTGTAAACTTCACTTGTACTTTTGTAATATTTGGTGTGATTCGTGTGATTCATAGATGTTCTCTGATTTATAAACCTTGCAGTGCTATTGTTCATAGATATAATACTGTAAAATTTACAGTAATATCATAACACTGGCAATTTTTATAGTATTTATTTAAAAAACGCTATGGATTCCTGAATGATTCTTGCTTTCCGCTATTTGTTGCACTGAAAGTTATTTCCTTTAGTACAAGTTCCTTTCGCAAGATATCATACTCTTTTTTGAATGATGAATTTTGTAAATCTCGACTAATTTCTTGAAATTCACTGAGTTAATTGGCAGCCATTTTTTATTGCACCATAAAGACGATTGTTTTTTTGCTCAGAAGATTTTTGGATAATAAAGCAGTTTTTATCTCAAATATAACAACAAAAACAACAGCTACAATTAAAGAATACATATTACTTTGTGAGTGATGCATCTCCAATTATATACTGGATAATAAGTAAAGGATGGTACCGTACAGCGTTTTCGAGATTACTGATCCGTTTGAAGGCAAACGACAAAGAGAAATATACTTCATTTCTAGAAATATGAACTTGAACAAACAAAAAGATTTCCCGCAATAAACTAGAGATTGGTAAGTTTGGGATTTCATCAACATGAAGAACAATTGTAATGGACTTGGTGGGATTATTTGACCATTTCAGTATTTGAACAGCATGAAATAGGACATAATGATGTCGGCAAAATTTTGGAATTAGTGGAGATTCAGAAATATTTAGCTAGAAACTTGTATAAAAACTGAAATGACAATGTAGATTATTTACAGAAATACAGCTCATATAAGAATGAACTGAAATTTCATTGAAATCAATGTCAGGTATTAAGTTGCTTGATATTACGAATAAGATTTGATAAATTCGAATTTAAGATTGCCCGCCTATTTGGTTTACCTATACAGTTTCTTTCTTTGTACTACATGTATACATATATATATATAGAGAGAGAGAGAGAGAGACAGAAGGAGAGTTCTATATCATTTTACTCCCGGTCTTCTTTTTAGATGATCGATCGGCAGCTTTACGCTCGCTTTCCGATAACAGAATCATTTTTATCTTTTGGCGTGCGTTGAAATGCGGTATCGCGCCTTCGAAAATGTTTTCTCGCGTCACTCGTTTCTACAAAAAAAGTACGATCAATCTTTAGTTTTAATCAGTGCTCATTAATTAGAGTTACTCATTTTGCGGAGAGTCAACAGATGCTTTAGTCAAGTGCAAATGATTTCGTTAGTTTCAAGAAAACGTTAAAAATTTTACAGCATTGAACAGAGCCTTTCTTTTCCTTTTTCGTCTTCCCTATCTCCACTATAGACTATCTTGAAATGGGAAAAATCTCATCGAGTACTATTGCGACACTTGGTTTGCGAAATACCACTCATACTGAATAAAAACTGACCTCACCCCCCGACTGCAATTCCACGGTCAAATTTGGCATATTATAATTGCTGGAAGTCGGTATCGCTTCAACTTTCCGTTCCAACTCCTTCTCGATTGAAACTTTAATTTCATCCAGTAGTTTTTGATCGGATGCTCCATGTCCTTCAGTACCATCAATAGAGTCCACAGCTTTCGATGTCCGTGAATTCAAGCCTGCTTTTTTCTGACTTAGCAACAGTGGATCAGTTTCATTCCGCACCACTGTATCAACTTCATTGACTTCAACAACTTTCTTCACATCAGATATTTCCGATAAGAATTTTTGATCTGACTTACTGGAATCACTACGCTGTTCATCATGACTACCATAGCTCCTTAGACGTGGTCGCTTATGATCAGAACGACTAGCCTGAAACATGAATTGGAAATTTTCGCATTTGAACGCACAAGTTTCGAATGTTCTTCAACTCCAGGTGCAAAATTTGAAAATGATAAAACTGATAACTATAAATAAACACTTACATCACTTTTACGTTTCTCACCATGTTCCTTACGTCTTGATTCTTTCGTGGGTTCCGGCTCAACTTTCTCAGCATTCTCACATCGCTTTGCTTCTCTTTCACCTTTTGTCTTTCCTTCCTTGTTGTCCCACCTTAAATCTCCGACATGGATTCGGAAAAATGACAAAAAACCAACAAATTTCAGTAAATTCGTGCAATCAAATTTCGGGGGAAAACCGGCAGAAAATATATATGAGAAACCAAAGAAATGTCTTAGTGTTCCTACCTCTTGCTTGTCATCTTCTCGTCTTTCCTGTCATTTTTTCGAAACTTGTCACCTTCTTTTCTCGAATCCTTCTCTTCATTCCTTCTGGTTTCCTTTTCATCATTCTTCTTTTTAGTAACTCGAGAATCATCTTTCAATTCATCCCGTTTACGACTTGAATCACGTTTATGTCTCCGATCTTTCTCATGTTTAGGACGTTCTCTCATGTTCTTTCGCTCATTATTCGTCGGGAGACTTGAATTATCACCACTTCGCCCTTCTTTTCCATTACTTTTGCTTCCGTTTCCACAGCTCCCCTGTCCTTCTCTTGGTTTACTTTCCTTCATCGCCTTCTCTTCAAATTTTTGCATCACTACTCCGGAATTTGTCACTTCTACAGGCTTTGACGCAGCAGCCTTTTTCGCTTCATGCACAGTTGTCTTACTGTCAGCGGTCATTTCATTTTCATGATCATTATCAATCATTCCACTAACAACGCTGCTCATTTCATATTCGCTCTCTTTATTCTCTACACTTTCAACATCATTCATTTGTCCGGCTTCTCTTTCTAGTCGTCGCCTTCGACGCTCTTCACGTCGTTTTCCTTTTCTTGCTTTCGCTGTTCTTTTTCTTCTTTACTACGCTTATGCTTTTTATGCTTCTTACGTCCAGTTTCATCATCTTCCGGTCCATCTTCTTCATGTCTTCGATGTTTCCTCTTTTTCTTTCTGTGTTTTTTCTTTTCACTTCTATCCTTTTCTTCTGCTATCACTTCGGCAATAATATTGCCAGTTTCTTTTTCATCATCCAATCCTTCATTTTCATTTTCAGCTTCTGCTCCGGAACCATCATCATGATTAGTTCGGAAACCCAATACAACACTTTCGGCTGCTGTTCCATCCGGCAAAGCTTCATCTACTGTACCATTTTCTTTTTCCACATTATTTTCAACATCACCAACGTCATTTTCAGTTCCTTTATTTTCGATCTGTGGAGTAGTTTCCTTTTTAGGTTCCTCATCTACAACTATTACTTTTAGGTCAACGGCATCGACATCTTTCTCCTCTTGCACTTTGAATGTACTTCCTTGTCTTCCCTCCGTTGCATTTTCTACCTCTTTCGATTCTTTTTCTTGGCGTCGCTTGTATTTATCCTTCTAAAAAAAAAGAAATTCGTAGAGAACTGTGAAATCACATTTTCGCAAAACTAGTATTCATAAATGTTTCGAAAAAATTAATGTTGAGACAAACTTTTTGTCGTCTTTCTCCTCTGTCACTATCCTCCTTTGCTCTCCGTTCACGATCTTCTCGACGTATCCTTTCATCACCATCCCTTCCTCGTCTACGTTCCTCAGTTCGCTCCTTTCGGTCGTTTTCTCGTTCTCTACTCTCATTTCTTCGTCGATTTTGTAGTGATCTAAAAAAGGCGATTTTTTTTTGAATATAATTTGAAAACATTCATTTCAACAAACAGAAAATATGCAAGAAAAATATTAAGAAAGCCTCAGGATTCAACTATACCTCGGTGAATGTCTTCTACTTCGTTCTTCCAAATATGTTCTCGATGACCGATAACTCGGGACTGGCCCATTATTGAAAGAATTATAACTCGCCGTCTGGCTTGTTTGATTTAATGTATACTGTGATGAGTAGTTGTTTAGAAGAGATGGAATACGATGATGAATAAGAGATGCCCCTGGCAAGCCGATAGCCGCAGAACCTGATGTATGCTGATAAAGATTAAAAGATGACGGTAGATTATCGCGATGGTAACGTGTGCTCGCATATGAACTACGAAACGGTGATCGCGAGCTGAAATAATTCATATTTGATAATATTTGAATTTGTCGACAAATTAGAAACAAGTTTCTTAGCAGTTCAAATTTCATATACGCCCAGAACATCTTGACAAGACAAAAATTACAAAAGAGAAATTTCTTTTATAAAAACTTACTCTCTCCTTCTGGAAGAATGCTTTTCACGACCATCGTTACGTCTTTTATCGCGATGTGATCGATTCCGATCCCGAGAGGATGATCTCGATCGAGATCGTGACAATTCACTTGATGATTCGGAAGATGTGCTACTGCTTGAATATGAGGTACTACGTGTAGAGCGGCGGCGTCGACGTGAAGACGGTGCAGCGGCTCTTTGGCGGCTTTCCTATAAAAACTGTGGTTAACAGAAAAAAACCAAACTTTCTGAAAACAGTCCCTCGAAAATAGAAAAACCAACAATGAGTTTACAAGTTGGTATTTTGTACAAGTTAGTAACTTCCTAGAAAGAGTAGAAGTGGATGAGATAAAATGATTACTTTATCTTTTCGTTCCAGATATTCATCCCAAGCATCCTTGATAGGTGGTGGGGCTGGAACACGTGGGAAGATAACTGCTGACAGTCCTGAAAAGCCACAATGTTTAACAGCCACTTTTTTTTTACATCTTTCCGTCATTCAAATTTATTGCCTAAAGCAAAAACACAAGTGCTGATCAACATATACCTGGTGGTGGTGGCTGCACACCTGGTGGAAGCAAAAGCGGAGATGCAGTTAAATGCGCGGCACTTATACTTCTGGAAAAAAATCAATGTTTTGAACTCGTAAAATGTTTGATACAAATCCATGTTCCGGATTGAAAGGATACACAATAGTACCTGGCAGTATGTGTTCCTGATGCAATAGATTCTGTTGATGAACTAGTAGTAACATGTATTGGCTGAGTTGGTGGAAGTATGGTTGGGTAACCGGGAGGTGGTTGATGAACATTTACCGGCAAAGGAAGAGGTGGTGGAGCGACGGATAATTGTTGTACATTTGGAACTACAACAGTAGGCGCAATAAGTTTTGATTGACTTGGTGCTGGTGCTATTCCAGGGGCTGGCATGACGACATTCCCAGGAAATTGTTTTATGGCCATTTGAGATTGCAGAGTGGCAGGAATTGCGACATTCGTACTGGGTTGAATGATGTATGTTGGTGGTGAAGTTTGGATCTGCAAAATAAAACACATTAATGTACAATTTGATTTCTAACGTATCTACTTCATTTTCAATTTGTAGCATCACGGTATTTATATTATGCAACATTTTGATGGGAATCTCGAATTTCCTGAAGCAAATTGACAACTATCTATACAACGACGATATATTTCAAAACACAATCACGTGAAGCACAATTCAAGCAAATAATGCATCACAAAATTTCGAGATGATGAATGTGAATAAAAGTAACACATATCATGTAGTTTCAAAATTCCAAATGATGTAGGGGAAACAACAGACGCTCGACTACGATTGTTTCATAGGCAGGATTACAACTTGCTGAATGTTATCATACTTTATTAGAAACCAACGATCTATTTAAAAACCGTCCTCCATTCAAAAAATTTAAGTCCTACAAGATACAGAACGAATAAACCTGTGATTGTGGCGGAGGAGTAGCCGCTGCCTCTTGTTGTTGTTGTTGTTGTTGTTGTTGTTGCTGTTGTTGCTGTTGCTGCTGTTGTTGTTGTTGCGGTTGATGAATTACAATTGCAGGTTGAACTTGCTGCGGACGACCACTCAAGCCAATACGCACGCGTGAAACCGACTGAACCGGCTGATCGTCAACACGTGGTGAATTATCTAAATTTATTTCTTTAATAAACCATTATTATGACATTCATGTTGCGTTATTCTCAAAAACACCACTCACTTGTGCTCTCAAATGCTACATTATGAACTGCGCCATGTTTGAATGCTTCAGCAGCTTGTCGCATCTGAAAATTCGAGATAGCTGTTCAGTTCGAATTAATAAAACATATAGTAATGACAATATAGTTAAATCTTCTACCTCCGTCCCTAAGTTCCAAATAAAATCTGAACACAGTTAACATAAATCTGAAAATTCGATTTAACTTGGTTTGAACCTTTAAATTCGGCACCAGTTTATCGGCAGATACAGCAGTTTGGAAGCAATTTGTTCCAGGACATTTTGCGTTCGGTGTTTCAAGTAAACGTTGCTGTAAGCAATCCGCACAGAAGCTATCACCGCAACAAGTTGTTAAGACGGCATCACGCAAAAGTTGTGAACATATTGGGCACTTTAACTCCGGCGGTATTTCCCTGGAATTTTTGAAGATGCTACCAAAGTTATTCGAGCAATGCAAACTAATCCACAGTTTACTTTAATTGAGGTTTTGGATTTTCAGAGCAAATGAAGAAAAACCTATTATCAAATTATACTTTTAAAAATTAGGAATAAAAAAGATGGCGATCTGCTTAGTTACAAAATTAAGGACAAAATCCAGGTGGAACAAAACAGATGAAATGAAATTAGTAATTCTATGAAGCTGACTAACTGTAACAACCAAATGATTAACTGGCTTATAAAGTGTCCATTTTTTTGGTAGTGGTTACCATATTAAGCACCCTATCTATTAATGTGGGCACCAAAAAGAATTAAAGTATGCCAGGCAATAATGAAGTTGGAAATGAGAACCGATATTTAATTTCATCCCTTCCCACCAAACGATAATCGAATAAGATGAGCAGTATATCTCCTAGAATCCTTCTAGAAAACTAGAACGGTTGGATTTTGTCCCAGTAAGCTCATATACATTGGTTTGTTATGGAACCGATTTAAGTCCAAAATTTGGCAAGATACCGTATCTCAGGTTCCAGTTTAGCAACTTCAGGCTTTTTTTGGCGTGCTTTCCAGTGCATTATTGGCACAACATACTTCCCCGATGGATGCAACATTGCTAGCGGATCATCCGATGTTGTTTCCATCAACTCATCCATGGTTATACCCGTTGTGCGACGTGTATTCAACTAAAAAAAAGGCAGGGGAACTTATTTAACATGGAAGGGAAATCGCTGTAACAATAAATCAAATGACTTACCATATGTTTAGAAATACCTGAAATGGTGACACATATGTACAACCTGAAAGGGCAACAAATTAAGAAACTCGAGATCTGAAACAATGTAATAATTTTATAAATCCTACTACTCCCTAGTCGTAGTTTGGAATCAGTTCGCTTAAATTACTGAAAAGTTCGGGAATCAACTTGCTTTTGGAGTTGAAAAAACAGGCTTGGACTCAAGTATTACATTTAAATTTGAATTTATCTAGATTTCTGCTCTCAAACGCCCAACTCAACTTTTCCATTAACTTCGGATTTTTCCGATATTTCATTGCAACTGCATCCTAATTATAGGAAATTATATCTTTTATTCTATTATGACTAACGAACAAAGATCGGAGATGTAGCAGCCTTCCAACAAATAATAAACATGTCAGTGGAGCAATAATGTAAAATGTTAGTTACTGTGGAATTTCAATGTGTGATATCAAATTTTATGCGTCATAAAATTCTTTTACTCCATATACGTTTCGATTTTACTAGAACGTTCTTTTCATTTTTTGGTAAAACCTAAATCTGATGCTTAAATTCGAAACGTTCATGAAATCAAAGAAAAGAATGTTATTGCACAAAAAGTGATAACGCACATACATTTAAAAAGTATCCAACTTGTGCATTTGTCCAACGACTTACAGAATGTTAAACGAAGGAAATTATAAATGTACAAACGAAATGCACGTTTTTTTCACATCATAATAAACTGCGGATCTCTATCTAATATGATAAACCTAAAGGATCTGTATCGACCATTCATATCTCCACACACCTCATCAAATCTTTCCACTTTAGACATTCTGAATGCTACAAGAATGCCACAGCCTTCCCATTTAATAAAAAACAAAAATAACTGTTGAAAACGATGATCAACTCCGAGTTTGATAACGCCGTTTCCCACTGGAAACCGTGTAATATTTTGCCCTTCCTGATCATTTACCATTCCCATTCAAAAAATCCTACTCTATCAATGATTTAAATCATGCAAATGAAGCAAATTTTCGGTTAAGCTTACAACAGACTATTTTCAAAACTAGCACATCACTGCATTCTCGATGTTTCTTCCACAGTGTCTCCTTTCCGTAACGTAGACCTTTATCCATTATCGTATCATCGGAGATTCTTCCATTTTCAATTTATATTGTGAAACAAACTTTGTTTTCTCGAAACGAGAATACTAATGCTTATGAAGGGAGGAAAAGAAAATAAGCGAAGAATATAGTACAATTTATCTCTTTTATCGGTGGTAAACAAAACTTACTCGAAAAAATGAAATACACCGAGAGAGACTGAGAGATCATTTAAATTATATAATTACAATTCCAAGTTCATCAGAATCACCAAGAAAAATAAATTTAGTGCTTAAAAAGTGTTGAAGCAAACATTATTGATCGTAATTTACTTTCCGATGTCTAAAATGACAATGATTTTTGCTTTATCAATCTTCATCCTAATCGACATTTTCCTTAATCTCTCTCGGAAATGATTTGTCTGCCTACCCTTCTCCATCCCTTCACCATTCAATGACAAGAACTGTTACAGTTTCACTGCTGTTTACAAAGAAACGAATGAAAACGAAAATTCGACACTGGAAAACATCAACTCATAGAAGAGTGATAACGATTAACCCATGGAAAATATGTAATAATAATTATTAACGAATGATATACCCGTACTAGAAAATTGAAGTATGCAGGAAAAAAAATAATCAAAATTATGCCATTTAAATCAATGAACAAATGTGTACATGTGAAACAGTAAATCTTTCCTGTGTATATTAAATGATAGAACGTAAAAGTGTAAATATAGAATGACCGTTACCATTGGACAATTTTTGTACCAGTGTCCTGACTGTGAGCATCGATTGCATACGTAAGTTGGTGGCGGCGGACCAGACATTATCGAAGATGTCTTCTTTTGAAAGCTGGAAAAAATTTATCCTTCATTTGGTGCATAAAAATTTCTGCCCACTCTGTCCTCACCCCTTTTATGTTTTCTCATCATATCTTGTTTTCTCAGATGTTTCAGATTCAGTTAGATCACGCGAGATATGTCTAAAAACATCTTACATAATGATGACGTTCACATTCTAAAGAAATCTGATATCGTTATTTACAGACTTATAAAAGAACCCCAAATAAAAGTCATAACAAATGCTATTGTAGATATGAGAAAAACAAAGACTTCTAGAATGAGAAAAAGAAAGATTTCTGGGAATTCAGGGTATATTTATATCAATATCTTGTGTCACGCGACAATATTACAGAGTACAAAATCATTTAGTGCATAGAATTTCTGTGCTCTAAAAGTACATTTAAATATAAAAATAAGGCTTTCACCCAACTATTTTTTATCAAATTGAACCACGAAGCTACACATTAATAGAGATTACAAGAACAACTAATCACTTACTTTGAAGGCAAATATTTGTATGTAGACACTTCTTTTATATGTGCCAAACGCTCTTCTTCCGTCATTTTGTCGAATTCTTCCTGAAGAAGATTATTGATGCCACATAACAACACGATTTGAAAAATCTTAATAAATTCATAAAATTGTCAACTCGATGTTATTCGAAAATAAAAACACGGAAAGCTTATACTTACTGAATCAATATGCCCAACAACGGATGTTTCAGCTGGAGTAGGCTTCGTCACAATCCCTGAATTTGTGGTATCCCTGGGAAAAGATTTTGAGCCATTAATTCTTCCATATTGACAAAGGAATGTAACTAATGAATAATTAAAGGAAAATTAACTGAAAATCACACAATGTTCCCTGAATTTGTGGTATCCCTGGGAAAAGATTTTGAGCCATTAATTCTTCCATATTGACAAAGGAATGTAACTAATGAATAATTAAAGGAAAATTAACTGAAAATCACACAATGTATGGAGGAAAGAACTTCTTTCAAGTCGAACTTAAGTAATAAACTTACTGCACTTTTGGAAGTTTTGCTGCATTATCACGTGGTATTCGCTGAACGATTACCGATGAATTTCGCGGAATTAACTCATCACCCGTGTATTGTCGCTTTGTATGGGCGTTTGTTAACACCAAATCGAAGGATTCTGCCTAAAAATTCAGTTAAATTAGAAAATATGTCTGCTAAAACATCTCCGAAAACTCCCCACCAAAATATTTCTGCAACTCGTCTCCCAAGTTACATACATCTGACAGCATGTGTGATCACAAAAATTAGTGACAATAATGCATCCCCATTACATGATTTCGAGCGTAGTGACAGTAATATCCTTGCTCTCTTCAATCATAAACACTTGTCTGCATTTTATAAATACTAATACCACTACTATACTGTTGTTTAACTTAAAGGTTAAACTAGAAATTGAATACCATACATTCATTATTGAAGAGAATCCTCCATACGTTCCCTTTTTAGTTAAATTTTGCCGAATTTTGCAATCCCTACTAGGTGAGTGAAAAAATAACGGATTCCCCACCTTGATATTTTCCTTTTCACATATTTCCTTCTTCAGATCAGTGACCGATATATGCAAACCATCAAATACTAATGTTTTGTATTCGAGTGTTGCTTTGAATTTGTAATGTATCGATGACATCGATAACCTAGAAATAGCAGAAAAACCCGGTAAAGAATACAAGAAATCAAAATGACATCATTCCGTCAACAGTGAGACTAAACCATTTCGGCACATTCATATGAAACCTATGATAGGCACATTATTGACGTCTTATCGAGCGCTTGAACCGAATTAAATTAGGAAAAACGGTAGTTCCGAACATTTCACGTAAAATGAAAGAACCAACCCAAAAAAAAAATCCCTCCACCGCAGGTTATGATCGCCAGCATCCCCTACATTAGCGGACACATTTATCGATTACCAATCCTATATTTCACAATCCCCACTGTGAAAACTGCCTGGATCAGGTATGCAAACAAGAAGTAGCCGATTTCATCGTGTTTTCGGGGATTTGATTTAATTCAGGATTAAATGTTTGTTTTATGATTGTTAAGATTTTCATGTGTATTTCTCTAGAAGTGAAAATTCATGAGTTTGAAGAGTAGGACGCTGTCGATGAATATTTTGAAACTGATCAGATTTTGAGAATTAACTGAATTACAGATTGCATGTAAGAGTTGCTAAGATTTGAAAAATAACTCATAAACAGAGACTGAGTAATGCAAATCTTTCACTTTGAAATTTTACTTTTCTTGATTTTGATTTTGTAAAAAATTACTACTAGAAATCGCGAAAAGTAGAGATATGAAACATAATCGATATACAATATATCGATAGAAGTGTTTATATGATAACGTTTGATAAATATGGTTATGACATCCGGAATTCTGGATTTACAGACAACCATATTCGATTGACGAAATCTTGTAGATAGTATTCGAAGCACAATAAGGCTGATGTTTGGAAGATGCTAGAAATTACGAAACTGCTGATTGACGATGTGAAATTCGTTTACAGGTAGCCGATGAAGAAATGTAACATTGTGTAGTATGGTGAAAGTTACACGTGTCAAATGACACACTGACTAATTTAGGATACGCTGCAATTAGTTTAGAAGATTGTTTTATTATTGAGGGAGTTTAGGAAGCCGGGATGAAGAACTGGTATTGCATTATCTCTAATTATTTTTGTGTGTTTTGTACAAGTTATTCTGTGAAAGTTTCATTGCAGTGTTACTTTATGTTACGTCCTCATTTCGTATATATAAATGACCTGTAATAAATTCTCTTTTCTTTTCTCCAATTTCTCAATTAATTTGATTCTTTACCAAGATCAGAAATAAATTTGGTGGCGAAGTGCTGTGTCAGTTGTCAGTGATCAATCAATCTGAGAACGTCCTGATAAGTCAGGTTTGTTAGAAATTAGTATTTTTTTTTCTTAATAGTGCATACAAAAGAAAGAATAACAAGAATGGTTGACTGTGAAGAGAAATTTGTTTTTTTTTTTCTTCACGGCTTTCATATAGGTTTTCTCGACGATTGCTTCTCATAAAATCATTTTCTATCAGATGTCAGATAAATATAAATATCACAATTGATATCTTTTCGTATCATTTCAGGATAATAGACATTAAATACGATGATAACAGACGTACAATTGGCAATATTTTCGAACTTAGTCGGTGTTTCCGTTTTCGCTCTTATCATCCTTTTTCATTATGTTGCAGTGAACAATCCGAAACGCAGTAAGGAACATTGAACATCCCTGATGATGATAATGCTATTATTATATTATTATAAAGTAGTTGTTAAGGAATCATACTAACGTGATATTTCCATCCATTTTTTATCATATATCACTTCACTTTCAACTTATCATTCTATTTCCGTAGATTTGTTCCAAGCTAGGTGAATTTTAAGTTTGGACTTGTCCTTAGGCCAGTTATTTTCACTCCAATTGATTTCAGTGAGCATGTAGCCAAATAATTGTTTCCATCCAGTAATCAGTTAAACTCACCCAATTGTGCGCTATAGTTTTATTGTCTATTAGGGTTTTGTCAACCAGTAAATCATTGTTGACGTCTGATAATGAAATAAATCGCCATCATTATCCTGTACAGGAATCAATTTAGCCTCATTATCTGATGTTTAAATGAGTGATTCAACGATATTATTCGGTATTGAACAAACTCGTTGCAAACTTTTAGTTGCTTTTTCATCAACTTATTGATTTCTCTCTGCATTTTTGGAAAATGATTCCACATTATCTTTTCTGCGGTTGCTGCGGTTTTTATATTCGGTGATATATCAGTATTATTAGGCTCCTTTAATAAAACGTTCCCGCCATGTCTTTGACATGCATCAATACATGCACATTTCAATATCCGTGGAGATCCACATTCGAATCTTGTCTTTGAAACTCTGTTGAAGTTCAAAGTATTTTGATAGCATGTTTGCTTAGATGCAGTTCTTCTTCATTTCTTAAGCTACTAAATTCCCAGTCTTCCGTTCTAGACATTATAGCAGAGAATTGTTGGCTATGTTACCACTCAGATGAGGGGTAAGGTGAAATTTTTGATTCCTTATCATTGTGAAATATTTGACATCCTTCTCTAAAGTCGTGCTAAATATGATAATATTTTTTGGATTATATGGTTAAATTTAACGGATATTATAATCTGTTTGGGTGATACAATGTATGTTAATGTGAGTTGTTCGGATTCCGTCAAATCACATTAAACTTTGACCTTTCATAATTGAGCCTGTTTCACTGATTTGATTTCTTTGCTAAACCATTTTTCAGCAAAGAAGGATATAAAATTTTTATAATGAAATACAAATAAACTATTAATGAAAAGTCGTGCAAATATATGTTAAGTCAGGCATAATGACAAGTAAACAATGAGATCAACTAACAAGTAAAATCTTTGGGAGGGAAGGGGTTTCCAATATTCCGTTTCCATTCTATCTTTTTCTTCTCTTAAATTTTTTTTTTTTTTTTTGTTTCCTAACAGACGGATATTTGCGCCCATATGAAATTTCCAATCGATGTTGTTTTCTCTGTCTACCTTTCTTCGTATTTGTCCATATTGTCCATATTTGTCCCATAAGTCTTTGATCATAGTTGAGATAAGTATGGGAAATAGTAAGTCTTCATGATGTCGTTTACAATTCACGATGGCTATTCTGACCGGCAGCATGATCGGCTAATAGAAGTACAGTATTGTAAATATGTTTCAATTGTTCTTTTATCTGGAAAATTAATTGAATTAAAACTTTGAAATAAAAATTTATTAAGGAAAAAAAGTGGGAAATTTTAGGATGACGAAAAAACAAAACGAAAATAATAAATCAAATAAAAGTTTTAATTTAATATTAAAATTTGCAACTCTTAACAATGGAAAATAAGTTGCCTTTAAAAGTAAATAAGTTAAATTACTTTAAGTTATTAACTTTTTTATAAATACTAGTACAAAACTTACAGATTTATAAAAGAGACAATTTGATGGATTTTCATCCTCACCACCAGGACAATCAGTAACATCGTCGCAAAGCTGTTCGGATGTTATGCAAACATCATAATGATGTGTGCTTCGTGTTGGACATAACATTTGTTGATGGCCATGCCTTGAGATACCACAGCCTGAAATTTAGCATAAATTATAGTTTAATATTAATTAAACAATTTGTTAAGCATAATAAATCGTTGCTAAAACCAAGAAATATCGTCTTTTTCTACTTTTTAAATATTTTTTTTCCTTTTTTCTTTTTGAAATTTTCTTTGTCTTTTTTTTAAAATAATCTTTTTAAATAAATTTTACCATTAGTTGGTTCATTTTACTCTAAATATAGCAACAAATTGTTCAAAATTTCAATAGGTTTCTTTTATTTTTATTTTCTTTTTTTGTTTTTCAAATTTCATGCTAACAGTTAGATTAATCCAAAATTTTGAAATATTTAAATTAAAATATTTTATAGAAATTTTTTCTCTTGCTACCAATGAATAAAATTTTAAATTTGGATAAAATTGATGTCAAATTTCAAATTATTATTGTCGTTGAAGATTTTTGTGATAAGATCATAATATATATTATATGATGGTATTGCTAGAGGTCATATGATGCGTAAGAAATGAAATTTAACTGATTGTAGTGATTGATAAAATATTATTTATATCAGTTACGTGCTTTTCTGTTATGTCTAGACATGTATTATTATTATTTATCATTTAATTTCTTATCAAATTTGTACACATATATTGATGTACACTTATAGGGAAAGGAATTTACTGATATCGTTATTGATAAGTTGTTTTATAGATACTAAAAGCTTATCACTAAAATATTTTCGTTTTTATTTTTGCTTTTTTTTTCTTTTAAAGCAGATTTTATTTACTTACACTTGACATCATTATGCAATATAATGTCAAACATATGCTGATTGTGTTGAATAATTTAGACAATTTTCAACAACTAATTAATATAACGCTAATTAACAAAAGCCAAGCTAATTGATCAATCAATAAGTAATTAGCAAAAGTTGAATCTTAATTGCTATTCCTAATAAATAAATTGTGAAACTAATAGTAATAGTTTGAAGATTTAAATTATCGATTATTCAGTTTTTTTTTCGTTTATTTACCTGGAAAGGATAAGTTAAGAACTAAATTATTAGTAATATCAGTTTCCAAAGATTATTTAAAAGGAGAAAAAAAAAGCAGAAAACGATCGTTATCCTGATAGTAAGTTAAAGTTTTTGATAAAATAAAGTGATTTAATTTGAATAAACTAATTTGATCAAAACAACAACGTGATAATGATAACGATCGTGATAATGATAACGATCATGATAACACATTCTAATTACAGATAGATACCTTTTCGTCTTTTGCGCTGCCTAAAATGTCGTGTCCTATGAATGATTGATGGACGATCAGCTTGCATGAGCCTTTCTTCATCCTCAAAATCGTCATCAAACTGATCTACATCTGCTTCATTCATCATCCTACAATTTAGAAATAAGTTTATATAAGATACAAATTCCTGTGAGTTAGCAAATTTGAAATTACAATTAAGTTAATGTCAGATTATAGCTCAGAAATTACCCATACCTTATTTTGGTACAATCCCAGGTTACCTGGTAGCTTTTGGAAAAACAGGTTGATTCAAAATCTTGTCCATTTATTTATCAACTCATACAAACTTACCTTTCTTTTCTTTTTTTTAACCAATAAACTTCAAAGTACCATTGTTTCATACCTGATATCGGCTTTAACATTTAGTATGGCAGCTTCTGATGACTCGCCTCGTCGTCCGTATAAGGCATCCCGATGAAGGTGATGCTGAAAATTTTTATTTTTATTTAAAATTTAAAACATAACTCGTTGTTTCATCCGGAAATGTTCCATCCGGAAAAGGATAATTCAACAAAATTTCTTTCATCTTCTGCAAACGTTATTTTCAAGGTCAAAGCACAAATAGTTTGTCTGAAAACTTTTGGAAAAAAAATAAGACTGGAAATTAGAAAGGAAAAAAAAAAATTAGCAACAGGAAAGGAAAAATATAAACACTTAAAAGTTAAAGAGAATGATATTTACTGCAACATTAATTTTAATTAATTTAATTAACTTATAACGCGATCAATAGGCATTTAATTAATGTGTGTAATTCAATTAGACAACAAATTCTTTCACGTATGAAAATTTTTAAGTTTTAAAAAAGTAATTTTTTTCTTTTTTCTGAAATTCAATCTTCAAATCTTGAATTTAAATGTGTTAAACAAAGAAATTGATAATAAATTTTGATGCTTTTCAAGGATTTCTTATAATTTGTTACAAAATAAATTTCAAAGAAATTTAATTTTTTCAAATTCAATTTTTTAATTATCGAATTTTGTAATCAGTAAAATTCGTGAAAATCTGTAAAATGTATTCCATAAAATGCAAAATGTGATCGAAAAAAAAATCATTTCATTGATTTATACGAATTTTGCATCAAAGGATCTGGTTAATTAATGAAATTAATAGGATTAATTATCCACATATAAATCAAAAAAACAGGTAATCATATAATTAATTTATTGATGATGTCATTTGCTTTTTTTTTCTTTTAAAAACGATAAATGATGCCAATTTAGGAGTAAATTTT